TCCCCCCCCCCCCCCCTCGCTGGGGCTATAGTTACAGCAGAACATTTATGTCATGAGCACCAAGAAACAACTATAAGCTCTAATAAGACTGTAACTAACAAAGCGTTTTCATGTGACGTCACGGTAGCCAAATTGGTGTTCCAAAACAATGAAATGTCACCTGTGTTGATGAACCAAACCAAACCTGTGGGAGTTTACTTCTTTTCTTATGTAAACACTTTCTTTTGTTCCAATGAATTTGCATAGATGCTGGCCACGTGAGTGAAAGCGCTCTTTATCAGGAAAGACTTATAACAGGGACTATAGGGATAAGACCTGATTCTTAACCAAAACAGCCAATCAGAGTAAGTTCTCTGAGCTGTCTTTGTCCATGGCTGACTTGGATTCATTGTGTTCCTGGATCTGGTTAAGAGATTGTAAATTTAATTTATAATTATGTAATTGTTTTTTTGTGTGTGTTTCTGTAGCCATGCTAATTATTTTAGTATGTGAGGACATTAGGCGTAAGGTAATGCTGGACTATAATCATTATTACTAGATTGCACATGAGGTTACCGGGCAATGGCCATGTTGGTGGTCAAGAACAAAAGCAGTTCTCTTCTCTGGCAACTAAACTCCGTTTTCTTAAAAAATTCTGCAAAAAAATGTCATTGTATTGACCACCATTATGGCCGTCATGTCAGATGGCTGGAAACCAAGAATAATGCAACCTTTCAATGTGTGGGTTGTTAGAAAACTAATTCCAGGTTTTCCCAGATCTCTTGTGGATGAATATTGGCAAGAGATTTGGGTTGGGTGGAATAAGATGCTGTGGTGTTAAAATAAATTTTAACAAGTTTTACTTATCTGATGTGGTTACTTGCTTGTTTTTTGGAATGTTGCCGCAAAAAAACTACAGGGTGTTTTTGATCACTAGATTTTCCTTTTTTGTTTTTTTCTTCAAAGTTAGTGGGGTGTGTCTCTTCCCAGTCTGACTAGCTGTTCCAGGCTTTCGGTCATTGGAGCCCGGCGAAAAAGCGGGCGAGAAAAGCAGAAAAAAAGTGAGCGAGCGAAAACGGGGCTTTTTGCGGTAGTTTTCCTACTGTGTTGGAGCCTGGAACAAGGTACAGACTAACGCGTCCATTCCTCGCGCGCGTCTCGCGGCCTTCCCGCTTGCTATTCGCGTGGTAGTTGTGCACTAAACAGGAGAAAAATGATACACAGCTTGTAGTCTACGGATTTCCCAATTAAAAAAACGAAAGCCCAAAGCCAGATAATTCCATGATGTGTGGGAAAATATGGAATTAATGACTAACCAATCAGTACTAAGGACGTTAAGAAACTGAGAAAGACGGGGAGATTCACTCAGCCTCGTCCCCAGGGCTTTTCCCTTAAAAAATGGGTGTGGCGTCCCACCCATTTTTTAAGGGAAAAGCCCTGGAGACGAGGTTGAGATTCACTCTCCACGGTTTTTTCATATCAAATAAAGAGCTCAAGTTTTTAAGCAAGACATAAGATTTAACGAAACACGTTTAATTGACCCCGTCCTGAAACTGATTTCTTCTGACGATTGTTGATAAATTAAATGGGTTAAAAGCCAGTTTTACAACCGTGGTACTAGTTGCAAGAAAATTGGGTCACGAGGTTGCATTATAAACACGGCCCGAAACTGCAGCTGGGACACCGTCTCTGCAGCTCGTTGAAACTGAACTTTGCCGAGAATACATTGAACATTGCTGTTTTTAACTCTAGCAAGGCAAACTTGTAGCCAATACATTGCCATGGACCCACTCGAATAATACTTTGTAGCTTTTATGTTTTGCTATCCTAAAAAGAAGTGGCTTACCCCGGGTTCCAGAGACTTTTCATGCGCGGTTTCCGGTTTCGGCCAAGTCTCTAAAAAAGACTATAGTAACCCTCTCGTGATATGCTGCGGCCGACACCGAAGCATCCGGCCGCACGCGAGAAAATCTTCTGGTACCCTGGATAGAAGTGGCATGGCTACCACTCCAGTTGGGGGCGGAAGCCCCTTACAATGTACAAGACACGTCAAAAAGTAAAAAGGAAAAGGTAAAGGCTCCT